GTAAAGAAATTGATCCACACATGTCAGAACAAATTATAATTCAACATTTAATGAGTGGAATTAATCCTGATTTTCAGAAAGAACTTTCTCGACGTAGATTATCTATGAATACATTAAACGAATTTTTGAAATATGCTAAAATTGAGCAAGACTTATATGATACTTTTGAAAAATATAATCAATTATCAATCGAACATAAATCACCTAATATTACTATTAATCATCAGCAAGTTCCTTCATTTACAGCTATGATTAATCGACCGCAACAAAATTATCATTATAAAAAAAGAAATGATTATTTACATCCTTTATCAAGTCAGAGCTCTGTCTTTCAACAGAACTCGATTCGCCAACCTGAATCTCGGTCAACATTTATATCTAGACCACCAATACAAATTAATTCACGACAAAAATTATTTAATAAACAACATATTAATACTCAATTTACATCCCAACAACAATTTGATAATTGCAAAATTTGTGGTCGAAAAAATCATCGAACCGTTGATTGTTTTTACAAACGTACAACCGGATGTTACAAATGTGGTCAAAACCACTATGTTCGTGATTGTACGACGCCTCAAAATTTTCAATAACTGGGTCACGTGATGGCGGTGTTCCCAGTAAATTTATCAAGCCATCAACAATAACATCCTTTCCAGTTTACATCAAGATTCGTGTTAATGATCAACCAACGGAAGCAATTGTTGATACAGGATCCGCCATCTCAATCATTCATTTAAATTTTCTTAAAACTATTCATCACAAAAATTTTATTTATAAAAATCATACATGTCAAACAGCAAATTCAACACCACTTAATATAATCGGTCAAATTAAATTAGAAATAAAAATCAAATCAATAACAACTTATGTTGTTGCTCGTGTTGCAACAAATTTAATTACATCAATATTATTAGGAAATGATTGGATTGATTCGAATCATGTTCACCTTTATGGTGACCAGAAACAATTAACTATTTCTGATCAACATGATCAATTAATTTCAATTCCATATGTGGAACCAACATGTATTAATTATCCGGCATTATTAGTTCAACAAATTACTCTTCCACCATATTCACAAAAGTTAGTTGATATTACGTGTCAAGTTACTAACGCTAATAATCTTATNCAATATTTATTATATATTTAACACATGAGAGTGAATCGGAAAGAGAACAACCACTGAAGCCTAATGATTAAAATCCGATTGGATCCTGTCGGATTTGTTAAGTTTCGTTGGAGGATTCGATGGAACCTTACCGGATCCTTTCGTCGATTCTTGTCGGATCCGATAAGATCCTTTCCCAGTTAAATGTCTGTCGGATTCCGGGTCACTGGATTCTGGACTCAATCCGATAGAATCCGACCGGGTTAAATCGGAATCCGACTATTTCCGACATAATCAGAGATTGAATCCGATCGAATCCGACAAGATTCAGTGGTCGGATTTCTCGACCTGGGTACATTACAATAAACGGGTTGTTAATTTTCAAGATTTTTATTTCTTAGAGTCTCAGTTGCATTGAGACTCGTAATATATAATTATATTTCATATCAAAGCCTCTCAATAAAGAGACTTGAAATTTTTCAGTCTTATAAACAAAAGACCCGAACAAATTTTATATTTTGTCATTGATTCAATACCTAAATATTATATTTCATCAATAGGTGAGACCATTCTTTTGTCTCATACTACTCTATATTTGTCATAAGGAATACTTTTAAGTAAACCGCCTGTTTGGAATTTTCAAATTAATATTATACGCACACAAAAAACAAAACAATCTTTTGGAGACTCAATTGTAAATCAACCGAGGGGAAAAATAAAAATAACATAAGTCGAATATATTTTATCGCTTAAAACAATTCTAAACAGAGATTTTGATCAGACTTTCATTCGCACACTAAATTTTTTCATTGCATTTAATTGATTTATTTAATTGCTCATTTATCGTGATATAAATTATCATAATTAAAATATATTCATAACAGCTACCGGCACAAGATTTCAAGTTAAGAAAAATAATAAACAGCTTTTACCACACACTATTATTACTAATTATTTATCTCGTAAACCACTACAAAATAATATTTGCATAAATTGATTACCAGATTTCAATTTAAATAATATGTCTGATGCAATATTATTAGCAAAAGCACGAAAAGCTCGATTCGATGATTTACCGAATTTTTCTGGACATCCTTCTGAGGATGTCGAACGGTTTTTAAAAAGTATTAAAAATATTACAAAAGCTAATGATGAATCAGAAAATCAAGAAATTCTTGAAATCGTACGTGGTAAATTAACTCAATCAGCAGGATTATGGTTCGATAATAATGAACATAATTTCAAAAAATGGTCAGATTTCGATTTTTCATTCCGAAATAGTTATTTTTCTACAACAATGATTCATAAAAACTTTAATAACTTACAACAACGAACTCAATGACCTGACGAACCGGTAACATCATATATTGATGATGTTATTAATCTATGTCGTGAAATTGATTTAAATATATCCGACTCAATTATCATTCAACATGTAATGAGTGGAATGAATCCTGATTTCAAAAAGGAAATCTCTCGACTTGAATCCTCTATGAACGTATTAAATGAATTTTTAGAATATGATAAAATTGAACAAGACTTACATGATACTTTTGAAAAATCTAATCAATTATCAATCGAACATAAACAACATAATATTAATATTAATCATCAGCAAGTTCCTTCATTTACAGCTATGATTAATCAACCGAAACAATATTATAATTATAAAATAAGAAATGATCATTCATATCCTTATCAAGCCAGAGCTCTGACTTTCAACAGAACTCGATTCGTCAATCTGAACATCGATCAATATTTATATCTAGAACACCAATGCAAATTAATTCACAACAAAAAGCATTTAATAAAAAACATATTAATAATCAAATTTTATCACAACAACAATTTAATAATTGCAAAATTTGTAGTCGAACAAATCATCGAACAATCGATTGTTTTTATAAACGTACAACTGGATGTTTTAATTGTGGTCAAAACCAGCAGGTCCACAGTTGTACAATGCCTCTAAATTTTCAATAACTGGGTCATGTGATGGTGGTGTTCCTAGTAAATTTATGAAGCCATCAACAATAACATCATCTCCAGTTTACATCAAGATTCATGTTAATGGTCAACAAACTGAAGCAATTGTTGATACAGGATCCACCATCTCAATCATTCATTTAAAATTTCTTAAAACTATTCATCACAAAAATTTTATTTACAAAAATCATACCCGTCAAACAGCGAATTCAACACCACTTAATATAGTCGGTCAGATTAAATTAGAAATAAAAATCAAATCAATAATGACTTATGTCGTTGCCCATGTTGCAACAAATTTAATAACATCAATTCTTTTATGAAATGATTGGATTGATTCGAATCATATTCACCTTTATGGTGACCAGAAACAATTAACTATTCCTGATCAACATGATCAATTAATTTCAATTCCGTATGTAGAACCAACATGCATTAATTATCCAGCATTATTAGTTCAACAAATTACTCTTCCACCATATTCACAAAAATTAGTTGATATTACATGTCAAGTTACTAATGCTAATAATCTTATATTTGAACCATAT